ATCTCCCTGGTGCGAGCCACGTGGTAAAAAGAGACCCAGCAACCACCAGCGGGCCCTAACTGACGACTGATTTTGGTACAGACTGTAGTTCCGGTGGAGTGGTGGACGATCCATTAACCCATTGCATTATTTTTATAGTACCTTAACTAATTAATTTCGTTAATTTTATGTTATCTCATCTTTACTCCATCTCAGACTCACAATGTACTCCTCATCAATACCAACGAGGGGTTGGATCAAGTGGCAAGCGGCTTGTTCCAGCTTAAATAAGGTCTCGAGTTCGAGATCTTGTGTACGCAGCAGCTTTTGTTGGGAGACCCATCCATCATTCTGGTGCGCCACAGCTGGTCAAGTTCGGAGTAGTCGGGGCGAAACCCCGAATACTGGATGGGAAACCAAAAAAAAAATGTACTCCTCATCAATGAGCTTTGATTAGATTAGATCTAATCCAAAAAAATAAAACTTTAATTTGAGATAAGATTATTGTTACACTCTAAATGGTTAATATTACACTTTTTTAATGCAACTGAGCGGAAGCCGGTGGACGATCCATTAATCCATTGCATTATTTTTATAGTACATTAACTAATTAATTTCGTTAATTTTATGTTATCTCATCTTTACTCCATCTCAGACTCACAATGTACTCCTCATCAATGAGCTTTGCTTAGATTAGATCTAATCCAAAAAAAAGTAAAACTTCAATTTGGGGTAGGTTTATTATCACATCTTAAATGATTAATATCACACTTTTTTTAATATAATTATTTATTATACTTTTATATCATATTTTTTTCTCAAAAATTTATATTTTTTTTTGTTTTTTAATAAATTAAAGGGTATAATAGTCAATTATGATAAAAAGATGTGGTATTAGTAATTGAAGGTGTGGTAATAACATCATCCTTCAATTTGGTCTCTCAACTATTGTATAGATTTTTGAATTAGTCTGTAAACTAAAAAAACTCTAGTTTGATATCTAAAGTTTCTAAATTTGATCATAAATTGTTTTTTTTCATTAAAAAATAGTTGATATGTCCATTACTTAACAGTAAAAAATTATTATTTAATGACCACATATTACATTAATTACGAGACACATTAACAATTTTTGTACAAAAAGATCAGTTTGAGATTAAATTTAGAAACTTTAATGATTAAATCAAAGATTTTTTTTAATTTAAAAACCAACTTAGAGGGCCCATACAATAATTGAGGGATCAAATTGGAGGTTTAATCATTAAAAAAAATGTCTGGAGAAGCCCTAACAATTAAAGATCATTTATCTACAGTATATGTTAGAAGTAAGTTTGAGCATTAATTAATAACTAAGATGGTTCTAAATGGATAAAAGATGAAAGATTATCTTTCTATATGTATATTACAGAAATATTTTGTGCAATAATTGCATCGGAATGCATAAAAGTAAAGACTGTACGAAATTAACTATATATGGATGAAAGAGGAATCCTTAAAATATAAAACTTTTATCTCTATTAATGGTTATTTTAGATCAAATTGCAAAAAACTAATATGTGTGTATATATACTTCCTGGTTAGCTAGAAATTTAAAAATTTAGTAGGTGAATAAGAAACTGTAAATTTTGAATAGAAAAACATTGAAAAATTACAAGAGATAATGTAGTAATGAAACTAGATATATGTTCTGAACAATGTAACTTATTACAACAACAAAGTATACTACTCACCATAAATAGTTAGGTCCTGATTTTCCTTTTGGACAAAAGATTTTCTTGTCCTGGGAAAAAGTAAAACAAAAGGTTGTACTTAACGGAATCCATAACTGACGCAAGATCCCTGGAAGCTCAGAATCCGATGAAATTCATGGAAAAGCTGCCAAAAGAACAAAAAGTCCGGCCCCAACTAAAGCCAGCAACCCCACCGCAAAACTCCGGCTGGCTCCACTGAAATCTTGGTCAATAGGGTAGAGGTTCCCTGGTGGGCCCGAGATGTATGTAAAGGACGGTGGTGATGGTGGTGGCGGGCAGTACCCAGTCGGCGGCTTTTTCGGTGTTGGTGGTGGCAGGACTGGCTCTGGTGGTGGCGGGCACGGTGGTGGAGGAGGCGGAGGGGATGGCGGTGGAGGACTCTGGACACAGGACGGGTTACACTTCACGGATGTATCATTACCTGTGGTATCCTGGCTCTTGACGGATGTTGCAACAGTAGCAATCAGAAGGAGAGTGATCAGTGGAAGTGGATGGCCTAAACGGTGCGTTTTCGTCGACGGAACCATATCGTTATCGCCGGAAAATTTCTCAGGTGAATTGAGGAGGTTTTGATTGGTTAAAAAGGAGGAGAGAGCAGGACTGTTACGCTAATGATGCATTGGGACTCAGGGAAGGGAAAAGTGACGGTTTCGGAGAGTGGGATTTAGAGGGCAAAACGAAGTGGAAGAGACATGTTTTTGTGGACCTTTTGTAAACTAGAGGTCTCGTATGCCTTGTTCTTGAAGGGAATGAAATTGCATGTGGAATGGTCCCAAATCTCTCTACACTTTAGTGAACCATTATCTGTAATGTTTATTAAATTAGTCATTTAGTTGGTTTAGGCTTGTAATTTTGTGCAATTTACTATTTTTAATTTTCTTTTGTTCTTTAATTTTCTTTGCTTGAATTAAATGCTCTCACATCTCTGAATTTTTTTTATATGATGTAGATGTTATATATTACATTCACTTTAAAACTTTGTGACATAAACTACTCTAGATTCAATTTTAAGTTTGTGGGGTTTCAATGTTTATTGTTTAGCTATAGCTATCGATGGTTAAATGCAATTAAATTCTAAATTTTCAATTCTAGCTAGCTAGCTATTCATGATAAGTGAAGTTCAAATTATTTACGAAAAAGCATGAATTTCACATGTTATGTATATATGTATGTGTTTTGTTTAAATGTATATCTAACTAATTATAGTAGTTTGATTTGACTTGAGAAATCTTTTGTTTGAAATTAAGTCATATAAATTCTTCTTGGTGTTAATTTTTAATAGGATTATTATGTATTATATTCTAATTTGTTTTAATAATTTTGTATTGGGCTCTATCATTTGATGAATTCGTTATCAAATCTCTTCTTGTATGATGTCATGCACTTTCCAATTGCAGAAGCGTGAAGAAAGCTAAACATGCCAATACTTTTTTTAAGGGATTACTTTACTTATAAATTTTGCATATAATTCTTCTATAAAACCATGATTGGTTATCTATCCATTATAAATGACTTAAGTTTATTTTTTTTTTTTTTTTTTTTTTAAAGTTAATTGTCTTTTTATCTAAAAAGTATGATGAATAGCAACTACTCATAGTAAAAATGAATAATCATTATTTTATATAAAACTTGTGTGGAAAACTTTATTTTAAGATAATTTTATGTCTTTTTAACAAAGAGCACAAATTATAAGGAAATAATCATGTATTGATACATGAGAAAAGTTAAAATCAAAATGTCATAATACTTTAAATGTCAAGATCTTTAGTGAAATTATCCAAATATCCTTGATGATTTATTTTTATTTGTTGATTCATTAAATATATTATAATATTTTTATTTTCGTTTTTTATATTTTAAGTGTCAAAATATATTAATTTTCCTTAATCTCATGAAGGCATACAGTCTTTAATGGTACCAATTCTTTTAAAAATTAAAATTTCTTTATTATAAGCTATTTTAGAAGTCAAATTTAAATTTTCTCCAATAATTTTTATCGGAGAACAAATTACTTAACAAACTTGCTTATAATTAAACTTCTTCGCCAAACAGGCCCTTAATTCTGAAGAAAGGGAAGCAAAAAAGAGACAAAAGCAGGGGAAATGCGAATAGATATATTATCCAAACCTGTGAATAAGTGAAGCAGCAGAAAAGATTAGGGAGAGAGGCCACACCGACCCATTTTCTTAAAGATTCTTCCACCATTTCTTCACTAAAAACAAAAAGACTCATCACTTATGTATCGTCAACTTCTCAATTTTCATATGCATATATAAACTTAAATTAAGTCCGAGCATTGCTTTTGCCTCTTGGAACCTTCCTTTCATTAAAATAATACTCCTAAATGTCGGACCGTTTCATTCCATGATTGCATCTCAATGACAGAACAGACCCAGCAAGAAAAATTACTTAAATGAATTATATAATAAAAGATATTCTTTCAATTTTCATAATTTTTTTACACCTATATATTTTAAGGATTCAAACATGAATTTTTTTAGTTTATAGTCTTCTTTTTGTAACCATTTGAAACATTTTCTTGAAAGCCTGAAAGGATTATCTTTGCCATAAAAGTTGAAGCTGACCCGACGACAGTGTTAAAATTATCTAATTTTTCTAGGACGGAGCTTTGAAATTCCTTTTCTCCACATTGTAATGAATCTTAAAAAATTACTCTCTGGCTAATACAAATTGTTTCAATTAGTTTGCGGCTTAATAGTTAAATATGATATTGAGCTCAGATTCATCCAAATAAATACTGTTGGGCTTAAAAGCATAGAGTTCCTTAAACTGGATTGGTTAGAAATTAGTTTCAGTGAAACAATCTTCTGATCCATTGTTTTTAAATCTTTTGATTCACTGCAGCAAAAGCATAAAAAAGAAGGGACACTGGATATGACATATGAGACCAAGGAGAGAGGACTACTGGGCTGGTGCACTGACTGAACCCAAAGATTTAGCAAATCCTGGCTATCGGCCTGCACAGCTTATGGTCTTCAGCCCAAAGCTAGACTCTTAGAAGAGCCCAGATAGAACAACATTTCAGAAGGGCAACTTAAGGCCTGGACATAGGGACCGACCACCTATAGCCAGGAGATAAGCCATAGTCCTTTCCTTGTCCAAATATTTCTTTAATTGTCTCAACTCTCAACTCTAAAGATTTGAAATTGAATTCTCAAACTTCTTGTTTAACCCACTTACCAGTTGAGACATCTTTTATGAGCTACCATCGTTTTTACTTAACATAGTACTAGTGTAATTTAGGTGCTCCACTACACTAAAACTAATAATAACAATCAAATTTGAATCAACAAAATATAGAGAAAACAAATCAAGAGAAAACAAATCAAGATTCCTTTGGTTTTTCAAACAGCAAGAACCTCCAAATCTACCTTTAAAAAATATTGGTAGGGACAGATCCACTCCTCACAAAAATGAAAAGACAAATTACCCATCCAAATCATAAATGAAGACAAATTACCAATTTTTTAACGAAAAACATCAAAATTAATTCTGTTTGCTACGTCAACATCTTTTAACAGAAAACGTTATAAAAAAAAGATGATTTGTCTTGATTAATTTATGATTTGGAGAGACAATTTGTCCCTCCAATTTTTTGAGAGGTAAATTTGTCCCTACTGATATTTTTTAAAGGTGGATTTGAGGGTTTTGCTTTTTCAAACCTTTAATTAAAATAATACTTCCCCAAAATATGATGATGATTTTATTGTATGGAAGTTAAAATATAGAACATAAATTTTTTTAGAAAGGGATCCAGGCAGTCATATATTTAAAGGATTATTTTGAACATGAGAATTTTAGGGAGGAGGGGGGCTCTTTTTTTCTTTTTTCTTTTTTATTCTAGTATCTGACTGGAAAATTGTTTTTGATGTATCGAGCAAATGTAAATGTGCTTGTAGAGGCTTGATTGATATCTTGACTGTCTAAAAAGAGAAAAAAAGTGGTGGTGCATTATAGACAGCCAAACCTACGGGCAAATGATAATCCAAAAAAGGCATGAAGTCTGCAGCTATGATTCCTCATCTTATACTATGTTTGGTTTGAAGGAAATGGATAGAAAGGGAGAGATGAATTTTTTGATCAATTAAATTGTAATATTTAAAAAAAAAATTATAATTTAATTAATTAAAACACTCAACTCTTCCCTTTTTTCAAACCAAACATACTATTAAAGTATGATGAATGATACAAGCTTCAAAACCATCTCTAAGGCTCTTAATAACACATATGAGTGCTGCAGTCGGATGATGTATCAAGGGCATTGAATTTGGTTTGTTACTTGCAGTAGTCATATCATATTGTTTGAAGTTAATATCTAAATTTAATTTAATAAAAATTCATCATTTCATTACATTACATTACATTTCATTCATGCTAACGTAGACAACATGTCATCTCATTTTATCCAACATTAATTGCATTCATTAGTTAACATTTTACTAAAAGTATTTTTCATCTTATCATTTCTTTATATTCAAGCACTTTATTCAGAATATTTCTCTACTATTGCAAGGATCAGGTTGCTTCTCAGGTTAGATCATTCCTTTACTTCACTTCTTTTGCTTGTCTAAAGCAAAATTTGGTTATTTCTTTTATCTTTACTTCTTTTTAATTAAGAAGAAGTAAAAATGAGACAACTATCATAATTTAATTCTTACAAAACATTTGTTTACATAATTATAAATTTGTTAAAAATATGAAAATGTGAAAAATAATAAAATCGGAGACAAAGGAAAAATCAATAAACATAAAATATCTAACTAATGAAAATGCATGAATTTTACATGTTATGTAGATGTATGTTTTTTGTTTAAATTTTCTAACTAATTATAGTTTGATTTGACTTGAGAAATCTTTAGTTTGAAATTAAGTCATCATATAAATTCTTCTTGGTCTTAATTAATTTTTAATAGATTTATTATGTATTACATTCTAATTTGTTTTAATAATTTTGTATAGGGCTATATCATTTGATGAATTCGTTATCATACCTTTTCTTGTATAATGTCATGCACTTTACAATTGCTGAAGCGTGAAGAAAGCTAAACATGCCAATATTT